AATGAATGTAGTGTAGTTGAAAAGTGACATGGATTTGTTTGTTGTAAGCTGCCAAATCCCTTGGGACTATTAAGGTGGAGGTTTATTTTTACATTTTTTGTGGTATTAAATAAGTGCAGGCATCAATGCTAGCTGTGAATTCAGCATCTATTTGTGAGGGTTGTCTTTAAGTTGTGCAAAAAAAAATGTTTTGCTCCAGGAAAAAGTCTTACTATAACAGAACACTTAAAGAAATAATATATGCAAACTGGAGAAAACGTTTAGTCGGTGTGATGATTTTTCCTCAGCGAAATTAGTTTTTAAATCAGAAAAAAGGTTACTTATATAATTACTTAATATATGAGTAGTTCAACGCTGAAAATATTTTTTTGGGACTGGTAGATAAAGTGCCTTTCTTTTGTTATCTTTCCAATGTAGTCATCATACCTACAGAATTTATAATTATCGGATTTCATTTTTGCTAGGGCCACTTTTAGGCATTGACTTTGGGCTTGATGTCCTATCTTAGGATACAGCTTGGGACAGTTAAAACAGGAATCCTTTTTGTCATAAACCCAGTTTTTGTAGTTTTGTTTCCCTGTTATGTGTAGTATTGTTTTCTAATAATTAATGCTTTCTGTTCACCGAATGGCTTTCGAGAAATAACTTGTAATGTTAACCTCTTTTGCCAGGCATATTTTCTACTTGTTGTTTGATCACTGTTTGCCTTGGCGATCGTAGGTTTAACATTGTAGAGTTAACCTCCTATGCCAGGCATAATAATGAATGTAGTGTAGTTGAAAAGTGACATGGATTTGTTTGTTGTAAGCTGCCAAATCCCTTGGGACTATTAAGGTGGAGGTTTATTTTTACATTTTTTGTGGTATTAAATAAGTGCAGGCATCAATGCTAGCTGTGAATTCAGCATCTATTTGTGAGGGTTGTCTTTAAGTTGTGCAAAAAAAAAAAAATGTTTTGCTCAAGGAAAAAGTCTTACTATAACAGAACACTGTTAAAGAAATAATATATGCAAACTGGAGAAAACGTTTAGTCGGTGTGATGATTTTTCCTCAAGCGAAATTAGTTTTTAAATCAGAAAAAGGTTACTTATATAATTACTTAATATATGAGTAGTTCAACGCTGAAAATATTTTTTTGGGACTGGTAGATAAAGTGCCTTTCTTTTGTTATCTTTCCAATGTAGTCATCATACCTAGAGAATTTATAATTAGCTTTTGTCCTTAAACAGTGGCTTCAGAGTTCTCACCCCAATCCACTAATTCTCAAAATTTTGCATACTTTTGCCATCTCCAGGGTCATTTCATGGAGTTTACAAATTGTTCTCTGTGCACTAGCATAATATCATGTCTCATGTGTCTTACTAGCCAATTAATCTATAACTTGGGAAACTGTGGCAACAAACACACTGTACTTTCAAAATCAAAGCTGACAATCTTCAATTCCTTTTGTTGCTGTTTTCTTCCAGTCTGGCTTTTCTACAAATGAACTCAACAGCATCTTTGAAACTTCACCGCCTCGTTGTTTATTGAATGTTATCACCCGATAAAGGGTTGTTTCAGCTAACTCACTCCAATTCTGTATTGTTGGTGCAGCTTTTAAGGTCTCTGTACAAGTGACAATCTTTTGAAGGAGATGCTTTCTCAACACCTCCAAGTCTTCTGTAACTGGAAGCAGATCTGGCTTGTTAAATTTCCTCTTGTAGAGTGTTCCTAGTGAGTGATATGAAATGCTATCGCTCCATTCAGATCCCATAAGCTTTTCGAGATTGTCCATGTCTTGTAGCGGCACCTGGTCTTTTTCTCTCAAAGCCTTACCTCTTTGGATGGTGATGCACTTATTTATGGCATGGCCTAACTTCAGTGCAAGGGATGGTATTCCGACTGACTTTGCTGATGATTCCTCAAAGTTGCAAAGGGTCTTAACTCAAGCCACAATGTGGTCAAAATACTCTGGCTTTAGAAAGTCTTTGAGGTGAATCCCCATGGAGTTGTTGGTTCTGAGCTGTATCAGCAGCCTTGAAAGCTGTTGAATCCCTTGTGACACCAGGTGAAGGTTGTCTTGCCCATGTCTCTCTGCAATGATGCTACCATACTTGCAGATGAGATCATCATTTCTTGCAGCAATAATATTGTTACCTTATCTGATTTCATTTTTGCTAGGGCCACTTTTAGGCATTGACTTTGGGCTTGATGTTCTATCTTAGGATACAGCTTGGGACAGTTAAAACAGGAATCCTTTTTGTCATAAACCCAGTTCTTGTAGTTTTGTTTCCCTGTTATGTGTAGTATTGTTTTCTAATAATTAATGCTTTCTGTTCACCGAATGGCTTTCGAGAAATAACTTGTAATGTTAACCTCTTTTGCCAGGCATATTTTCTACTTGTTGTTTTATCACTGTTTGGCTTGGCGATCGTAGGTTTAACATTGTAGAGTTAACCTCCTATGCCAGGCATAATAATAAATGCAGTGTAGTTAAAAAAGTGTCATGGATTTGTTTGTTCTAAGCTGCCAAACCTCTTGTAATCAGTTTTTTTTTGTTCTTTTGTTGTGGTATAATGGAAGCTGAATTCACTTCTTGCCTTGTTGCCTGGAACAATTTGCGAGGGTTGTCTTTAAGCCATACAAAAAAATGTTTTGCTCAAGGAAAAAGTCTTACTATAACAGAACACTTAAACAAATAATATATGCAAACTGTAGAAAACGTTTAGTCGGTGTGATAATTTTTCCTCAGCGAAATTAGTTTTTAAATCAGAAAAAAGGTTACTTATATAATTACTTATATAAGTAGTTCAGTGGTGAAAATAGTTCGTTTTGGACTGGTACATAAAGTGCTGTTCTTTTGTTATGTTTTTGTATAGTTAGTGCACCTGGTAAAAGATCTGTTTTGTTGGTCATGAATTTCCCTCTAAATTTGCTCTTTCTTACCACCCAGAACGTCAATGTCATTTAGAGATTTCCTAATGCCTTGACTGATGTTTTCCTCATCCATTAGTGCCAATTTAAGCCCAGTACATTGTTTTCTCAGGCAGTCCACTGGTGCCAATATTTTGCTGACTTTAGCTAGCTCCAGGGTTGACTCGTGGAGTCTATAATATTCCCTGTGTACTCTGATATCATGTCCCATGTGTCTTGCCAGCCAATCTAACTCTTTTTCTTGGAGGTCTAACACTTGGGAAACCGTCCAACATACTTTCTAAGGTGGGTACTTGTTATCAAATCAGGTTGTTTTAATTTAAGCCCAGTACATTGTTTTCTCAGGCAGTCCCAGTGGCGAATGTGATTCAATGAGTCTTCAGACGGGTAGGCAAAGAAAAACTTGTTGTTTGTATTGATGTTGGCCTCTTTTCTTTTCTTGACTAAGATGTCCATTGCTCCTTTAATATCAGGTGTTAACTGCACTGAGACCTTATGTCCCCTTTTGCTTTCTATGTCAACCATGTCCACCACACATTATAGCATAAATTATTACATAATTGCACAATTTTAATAATGTCTCTCTTTAAAAAAGTAGCAAACATGAAGGTGGCCTTTTGTTTTGAAGTATTTAGTTAATATACAGGCCATGCTTAACAAAAGTAACTTAAATGGTTGTATGTGGCCCTGACTGAGTTGAGAGCAGTGCATATTCAAACTAACAAGGCAGGTGATCTGTTTAATAAATATGAGAATATTTTCAAGGCTAATTTAATTTTGAAATTCACAGCTCTCCTTGATGCCTGCAACTGTTTTCGAGGGTGGTCTTTACGTTTTGCCAAAAAAGTGTTTTGCTCAATGAAAAAGTCTTACTATAACAGCAAACTTAAACAAACGATATATTCAAACTGGAGAAAACTTTTAGTCAGTGTGATAAGTTTCCCTCAGCAAAATTAGTTTTAAATAAAAAAAGCTAAGGTTACTTATAGTAATTCAAGGGCAAAAATAGTTGTTTTGTGCCGTTACATAAAGTGCTGTTCTTTTGTTATGTTTCTGGTCTAGCGTCTGGTGATAGATTTGGAAATGTATCTTATATCACAGTGCATGTATTCCAAGATGTCTGCAATTTTTTTGTGTGTGTATTGATAGTGGAATGACTGAATGTGTTATTACATGTACTTTATACCTCTTACACAGTTCCTTCTCAATTGGCTCTAGACAATCTTCAATTCCTTTTGTTGCTGTTTTCTTCCAGTCTGGCCTTTCTACAAATGAACTCAACAGCGTCTTTGAAACTTCACCACCTCGTCGTTTATTGAGTGTTATCACCCGACAAAGGGTTGTTTCAGCTAACTCACCCCAATTCTGTATTGTTGGTGCAGCTTTTAAGGTCTACTTGTTGTTTGATCACTGTTTGCCTTGGCGATCGTAGGTTTAACATTGTAGAGTTAACCTCCTATGCCAGGCATAATAATAAATGCAGTGTAGTTAAAAAGTGTCATGGATTTGTTTGTTCTAAGCTGCCAAACCTCTTGTAATCAGTTTTTTTTTTTGTTGTTCTTTTGTTGTGGTATAATGGAAGCTGAATTCACTTCTTGCCTTGTTGCCTGCAACAATTTGCTAGGGTTGTCTTTAAGCCATACAAAAAAATGTTTTGCTCAAGGAAAAAGTCTTACTATAACAGAACACTTAAACAAATAATATATGCAAACTGGAGAAAACGTTTAGTCGGTGTGATAATTTTTCCTCAGCGAAATTAGTTTTTAAATCAGAAAAAAGGTTACTCATATAATTACTTATATAAGTAGTTCAGTGGTGAAAATAGTTCGTTTTGGACTGGTACATAAAGTGCTTTTCTTTTGTTATGTTTTTGTATAGTTAGTGCGCCTGGTAAAAGATCTGTTTTGTTGGTCATGAACTTTCCCTCTAAATTTGCTCTTTCTTGCCACCCAGAACGTCAATGTCATTTAGAGATTTCCCAATCGCTTGACTGATGTTTCCCTCATCCATTAGTGCCAATTTAAGCCCAGTACATTGTTTTCTCAGGCAGTTCACTAGTGCCAATATTTTGCTGACTTTAGCTAGCTCCAGGGTTGACTCGAGGAGTCTATAATATTCCCTGTGTACTCTGATATCATGTCCCATGTGTCTTGCCAGCCAATCTAACTCTTTTTCTTGGAGGTCTAACACTTGGGAAACCGTCGCAACATACTTTCTAAGGTGGGTACTTGTTATCAAATCAGATTGTTTTAATTTAAGCCCAGTACATTGTTTTCTCAGGCAGCCCCAGTGGCGAATGTGATTCAATGAGTCTTCAGATGGGCGGGCAAAGAAAAACTTGTTGTTTGTATTGATGTTGGCCTCTTGTCTTTTCTTGACTAAGATGTCCATTGCTCCTTTAATATCAGGCGTTAACAGCACTGAGACCTTATGTCCCCTTTTGCTTTCTATGTCAACCATGTCCACCACACATTATAGCATAAATTATTACATAATTGCACAATTTTAATAATGTCTCTCTTTAAAAAAGTAGCAAACATGAAGGTGGCCTTTTGTTTTGAAGTATTTAGTTAATATACAGGCCATGCTTAACAAAAGTAACTTAAATGGTTGTATGTGGCCCTGACTGAGTTGAGAGCAGTGCATATTCAAACTAACAAGGCAGGTGATCTGTTTAATAATGAGAATATTTTCAAGGCTAATTTAATTTTGAAATTCACAGCTCTCCTTGATGCCTGCAACTGTTTTCGAGGGTGGTCTTTAAGTTATGCCAAAAAAATGTTTTGCTCAATGAAAAAGTCTTACTATAACAGCAAACTTAAACAAACGATATATTCAAACTGGAGAAAACTTTTAGTCAGTGTGATAAGTTTCCCTCAGCAAAATTAGTTTTAAATAAAAAAAGCTAAGGTTACTTATAGTAATTCAAGGGCAAAAATAGTTGTTTTGTGCCGTTACATAAAGTGCTGTTCTTTTGTTATGTTTCTGGTCTAGCGTCTGGTGATAGATTTGGAAATGTATCTTATATCACAGTGCATGTATTCCAAGATGTCTGCAATTTTTTTGTGTGTGTATTGATAGTGGAATGACTGAATGTGTTATTACATGTACTTTATACCTCTTACACAGTTCCTTCTCAATTGGCTCTAGACAATCTTCAATTCCTTTTGTTGCTGTTTTCTTCCAGTCTGGCCTTTCTACAAATGAACTCAACAGCGTCTTTGAAACTTCACCACCTCGTCGTTTATTGAGTGTTATCACCCGACAAAGGGTTGTTTCAGCTAACTCACCCCAATTCTGTATTGTTGGTGCACCTTTTAAGGTCTACTTGTTGTTTGATCACTGTTTGCCTTGGCGATCGTAGGTTTAACATTGTAGAGTTAACCTCCTATGCCAGGCATAATAATAAATGCAGTGTAGTTAAAAAAGTGTCATGGATTTGTTTGTTCTAAGCTGCCAAACCTCTTGTAATCAGTTTTTTTTTTGTTCTTTTGTTGTGGTATAATGGAAGCTGAATTCACTTCTTGCCTTGTTGCCTGCAACAATTTGCTAGGGTTGTCTTTAAGCCATACAAAAAAATGTTTTGCTCAAGGAAAAAGTCTTACTATAACAGAACACTGAAGTAAATAATATATGCAAACTGGAGAAAACGTTTAGTCGGTGTGATAATTTTTCCTCAGCGAAATTAGTTTTTAAATCAGAAAAAAGGTTACTTATATAATTACTTATATAAGTAGTTCAGTGGTGAAAATAGTTCGTTTTGGACTGGTACATAAAGTGCTTTTCTTTTGTTATGTTTTTGTATAGTTAGTGCGCCTGGTAAAAGATCTGTTTTGTTGGTCATGAACTTTCCCTCTAAATTTGCTCTTTCTTGCCACCCAGAACGTCAATGTCATTTAGAGATTTCCCAATGGCTTGACTGATGTTTCCCTCATCCATTAGTGCCAATTTAAGCCCAGTACATTGTTTTCTCAGGCAGTCCACTAGTGCCAATATTTTGCTGACTTTAGCTAGCTCCAGGGTTGACTCGTGGAGTCTATAATATTCCCTGTGTACTCTGATATCATGTCCCATGTGTCTTGCCAGCCAATCTAACTCTTTTTCTTGGAGGTCTAACACTTGGGAAACCGTCGCAACATACTTTCTAAGGTGGGTACTTGTTATCAAATCAGATTGTTTTAATTTAAGCCCAGTACATTGTTTTCTCAGGCAGCCCCAGTGGCGAATGTGATTCAATGAGTCTTCAGACGGGCGGGCAAAGAAAAACTTGTTGTTTGTATTGATGTTGGCCTCTTGTCTTTTCTTGACTAAGATGTCCATTGCTCCTTTAATATCAGGCGTTAACAGCACTGAGACCTTATGTCCCCTTTTGCTTTCTATGTCAACCATGTCCACCACACATTATAGCATAAATTATTACGTAATTGCACAATTTTAATAATGTCTCTCTTTAAAAAAGTAGCAAACATGAAGGTGGCCTTTTGTTTTGAAGTATTTAGTTAATATACAGGCCATGCTTAACAAAAGTAACTTAAATGGTTGTATGTGGTCCTGACTGAGTTGAGAGCAGTGCATATTCAAACTAACAAGGCAGGTGATCTGTTTAATAATGAGAATATTTTCAAGGCTAATTTAATTTTGAAATTCACAGCTCTCCTTGATGCCTGCAACTGTTTTCGAGGGTGGTCTTTAAGTTATGCCAAAAAAATGTTTTGCTCAATGAAAAAGTCTTACTATAACAGCAAACTTAAACAAACGATATATTCAAACTGGAGAAAACTTTTAGTCAGTGTGATAAGTTTCCCTCAGCAAAATTAGTTTTAAATAAAAAAAGCTAAGGTTACTTATAGTAATTCAAGGGCAAAAATAGTTGTTTTGTGCCGTTACATAAAGTGCTGTTCTTTTGTTATGTTTCTGGTCTAGCGTCTGGTGATAGATTTGGAAATGTATCTTATATCACAGTGCATGTATTCCAAGATGTCTGCAATTTTTTTGTGTGTGTATTGATAGTGGAATGACTGAATGTGTTATTACATGTACTTTATACCTCTTACACAGTTCCTTCTCAATTGGCTCTAGACAATCTTCAATTCCTTTTGTTGCTGTTTTCTTCCAGTCTGGCCTTTCTACAAATGAACTCAACAGCGTCTTTGAAACTTCACCACCTCGTCGTTTATTGAGTGTTATCACCCGACAAAGGGTTGTTTCAGCTAACTCACCCCAATTCTGTATTGTTGGTGCAGCTTTTAAGGTCTACTTGTTGTTTGATCACTGTTTGCCTTGGCGATCGTAGGTTTAACATTGTAGAGTTAACCTCCTATGCCAGGCATAATAATAAATGCAGTGTAGTTAAAAAAGTGTCATGGATTTGTTTGTTCTAAGCTGTCAAACCTCTTGTAATCAGTTTTTTTTTTGTTCTTTTGTTGTGGTATAATGGAAGCTGAATTCACTTCTTGCCTTGTTGCCTGCAACAATTTGCGAGGGTTGTCTTTAAGCCATACAAAAAAATGTTTTGCTGAAGGAAAAAGTCATAGGAAACTGAAACAAATAATATATGGAAACTAGTACATACTTTAAGTCAGTGAGACAATTTTCCTTAAGTGGGTTTACTGTTTAAATCTGAATAAGGGTTACCCATAAAAAATAGGTAGTTTAAGGATTAATATATAATAGCACCTTTAATCCTTTTGTTATGTTTCTAAAATGTCTTCTTCAGTAAATAGTCAGAGGATTTAGCTTTGGTGCTTAAACTTCGTCAGATATTTTAACCTGTGGTCTGCTTTTGCTGCACATGCAGCTGTGTATTGAAAATGAAAAATGTTCTTGTTTTTTATAATGTTAATAGAAATGTAATTCACTTTGTTCCATCTTTTCTTAAGGAAACAAAATGGCATTTTTTTTTTTAAAACTTTATCTCCCAGACTAGTTATTTATCGAGGGTGATCACCTGCCTATTTAAGCTCTTTGTTTGCTAACTCACCCCAATTCTGTATAGTTGGTGTGACTAGAAGGTCTGTTTTGTTGAATTTCCCTCTAAATTTGCTCCAGATCTCTCCACCCTGAATGTCTATGTCATTCAGAGACTTCCCCACTACATTGTTTTTTAACACAGTCCCAGTTGCAGATAAGGTGTGTGGTTATATAAGTTTCCACAAGGACAGACTAAGAAAAACAGTTGTTCAATAATATTGTTATCATTATTGTTAATTTGGTCGGCATCGATGTTGAGCTAATTCTCCTTTTGTTGTCAAGGAGTTTCATTCCTTCTGCAATATCTGGAAACCTTCGCCTTTTGCCTTTTGCCTTTTGCCTTTTGCCTTCTATCTCAACCATGTCCACCGCACATACATAATTGTATAATTACTTCCTTAATTATATATGTCTCTCTTAAAAAAATTAGCAATTAAGATTAATTTGGCCTTTTTTAAGTGTTCAGTTAGTACACAGTTACTGGCTATTCTTATTAAAATATATATTTTTTCAGGTTCTTGAATGGTTTTATGTGGCCCTGACCGGCCAGGTTGAGGGCAGTGCGTACTTATGGTAGGCAATTTGTTTAATGAGTTATTTAATGCTTTTGATTTTGCAATGTTCAGATAAATAAACAGAATTTTGCAGTCCATGGAGTGTTTTAAAGTAGTCAGTCATATGAATCTTTTGAAAATGAAATTCTTGGAAATAGAAAGGACACGACCAACATAATATTTTGTGTGAATATATATAGGTATCTGTTACATAAGATAGCAATCCATCCTTGATAATTTCAACTGATCAAACCTCCTTATATGGATTTCTGAACCACTGCAAGTAACACTAGTGTTATTAAATTTCTCAGTATTATAACTGGTGTATTATATTCAGCTTGTCTTGCCTGTTGAAGTGAATATTGTAGTTAAACATATATAATTAATAAGTTTTATGCAGTCAGTCTTCAAGCATTTTTGATCTGTTGTTATAATATGGTTAGTCCCCAAAACACAAGAAAAATAATATGGACTGTTGAACAACTAGAATGTTAAATAATCCTTTAAAGTACCAGGCATGATAATATTAAGATGCAAAGAGTCATTTCCAATGTAGCAAAATTCTAATTGCATAATAATACTAAAATTTATGTAATAATCATGATATGCAATATCGTGCTTAAGCTGGTCTCTTTGTTGAATGTTCACTTTAAGAAAAAGAAAGGGCTATGTCTTTCATAAAAAGGTAGCAAAGATAAGGATGGCAGTTAGTCACAGTTACCAGCCATGGTTAGCAAAAACAAACTATTTCCACCTCTTGATGTGCCCCTGACTTGAGGTCAGCTAGTGTTTATTCAAGCCAATATAGTAGACGATTTTTAAGCAACCACATGTGTTTAAAGGTGGCATTTGAAGAAGCTGTGTCACAAGTTTGGGGCATTATTTAGAATCCCTGAAAGCAGATTGGTAACTGTCCTTTATTGCTGTCCCTTTCTTTTTAGTGTTTCGGCCCTGGCAATGACATTTTTGACATAATACTTGACTTTCGTCCAGTCCCTACTGTCTAGAACTGGAGAGCTTTTCTCTATACACTGTAGGCAGTCGAGCTTACCAGGGAGTGCCTTCTTGTTAATAAATTTCTTCAGGTGTCTAAACACGGCTTCTTTTTCTTCTTTGGACCATGGCTTATGATCACCTTTGATTCTTTTCTTCTTCTCTTTTCCTGAGCTTGATGTACCTAAACAAATGCAAAAATTTTTAGGTCAGAATACTGAGTCTCTTAAGACACAGTTATTAATAATTATGAAAGCTAATGTGTGAATTAATTGAATTTGCACTAAATGTGAATATTGAAGAATCCTTTAAACCCTAATTTTGTGGCCATTGTGGCCCCCCGCGGTTTTTTTGTCATCATGTAGAGACATGATAAATGGCTATGTGGAAGACTTTTTAGCTTGGGGAAAAAGAACCATGAAGCTTAGTAGGTGGGGCATTCGTACCCTCCTGAAGACCAACTGTAGGGGATTCTTAACCAGGTGGACCCCACAGTCATGTATTTAATTAGATCTTTCAGCAAAAAAAAAATTTAAAATAAATACAATAAAATAACAACAAAGCAAATGGTTGGCATGGAATTGATGGAGCCATTATGGTTTGGATTTTCTTCCAACTTACTTAATTTACTTGTTTTTATTGATTCTTTTCATTGTGAATTTACAAGGCGAACAATATGGCCCAGGACACAGAACAGCAAAGTACAGCTCCGAAGGAGACTGCCTGGTGAGATATGGGGAGACTTGGCTAAAATGTTGGTGTTTTTTACATTGTGTAAAATTATTAAATGAGCAAGAGTATAATATTTCTTAGAATGAAATGTGTTTCCACACCGTTTTGTTTAGGGTTTTATCATGCACCATTAAAACATGAGAGGCTGTTATCCACCTACGGACTTGGTGGATATCATTCTCCTCAATCTGAATAATTGCACACATTAATTTATCACACTCAGCCTCATTCAATAATTGTTAATATTATTCCGAGTGAAGCAAGGGCACGAAGTGCCCTTGCTTGCGAAAGTGATTTATAAGGGACCGGTCATTATTTATGTAGAGGTGGGGAGGGAAAAAAGAAGGGGGGGTCAAGCCTTTTCCAGATTGACAAGAGGGAAGGGCTAAACTTTCTTTTAGAGAAGTTTAGGGAGGGTCAGCAGTTTGATCACGAGGTATATATTAAGAGGGGTCTATTGGCCAGGATGGGTAAAGCTGTTAAATAGTAGAGTACAAACAATGTATGTGAAACAGTAATGCTAAATTGTACTTTTTTTTATGCTAATCCTATTGCTTTTTGTTTATTTAAGCACCACTATTTTGTACAATTTAGTTTTGTATTTGACAGAAATTCTGTTTGCACTCTAAACTTCATTCTTATTCCAAATTTTAGCTTATAAAGAATCCAGATCTATCTGCCCTAATATTTGGTTTGACTGAAATTTCTTTTCACAAAATGCTTGTCACTTCAATAGCCCAAGAAAAGCATGGTAAAACAACAATGATGATATAAGCATGATAAACTTCATTCTTATTCCAAATTTTGGCTAATAAAGAATCCAGATCTATCTGCCCTAATATTTGGTTTGACTGAAGTTTCTTTTCACAAAACGCTTGTCACTTCAATAGCCCAAGAAAAACATGATAAAACAACAATGATATGATGAGCGTGATAAAACAACAAGAAAGTGGTCCTTTTGCAACTCTAGGAAAATAATTTGAAGAGAATTATATTTTGCATGGTTATTTACATTAAGTGTTCACCATTAAGGCACGATGTGTAAAAATCTATCACGTTTACCATAATTTTAAAAAACAACACTTTTATGAGTTAATAATATTGGCATGCACAGTATACACTTAACTTGTCCAAAAGAAGTGAACAAAAAACTGGACACTGGTCTACGCAATACGCTGATTTTGTAATAGAGTATGTTAGTGCTTTTGTTGTGCAAAGTAATTAATCATGATTTGTATGCATGCATTTTAATAATTACTTTGTAGAGCATATGAGAGGATGTCGAGATATGAGGTGGGGGGGGGATCACCACTTAAATATTGAATAAAGTAGGGGGTCACTTGCTATTTACATGGTCTGCAGGGGGGGGGCCTTACGGAAATTTTGATCTTTCTAACATATTTTTCCCTCCCCACCCCTACATAAATAATGAGCGGTACCGCGCATGGATCACAGGGCTCTGCAAAGTCGCAGTGCCAATTCTTGTTTTCAGCTAAATCAAAGAAGGTTGCTTCGGTAATTAGTCATTTCTTTCTTACTTAACTTTTATTTTACTTTTTTCATTTGTTATTGTTTTGGAAATCTTCATGTCGAAGATAAAGTCAATAAAGTTGTTGTTGGTAATTGGGCATTGGACATATTATGGAACAATGCAATGATTTACTTTTAAGTGACAACCAAACAATAGCTTCCAAATGCACAATTCCCAATGCCCAAAGCATCAGCCATTTGTCAGTGGTACAGTCGATCGATTTCAAATCTGCGCCATCTTGAAACGTCACAATAGTTTATTTGTATCAATCATTCCCGTCGCGAACGGGTTCCCGTTCCCAGCGTTCCCAGCGCTTCGCAACCCTTGGGTCTTTGCTTCCTCGTGGTTTCGTGGTTTAATTTGGAATCTTTCTTGCTTCATCGTGAATTCTACAAACTTTAAGGCAAGATCAATCTTTTCTTTTCTAAATCTTTCGTACATCAAAGAGTGATCAGGGAAGTATTCACCATTCCTGGAGCTTTCGCGACGCCTGATGTCCAAACGGCATATTCTATCATATCAAGTGCTGCTGGCGCAAATCTTAAAAATGAAACTACTCAGTCAAATGAATTCAGTCGATCAAGTGAAAGGAGTCGCTGTACTCGCTTGCCATTTAGAGAATTGAACACAATGACCCATTGTGGTCACGCAAGTACCAATTGAACGGAGTTATCACACTCGCACTCTAACCCATTGCGGTCACAAAGCAAATAAACCGAGTCGGTGTACTCGGTGGCGGGAATGCCAAACAACCACTGAATTTGCTAATTACTCTGACATTGAGTAATTAGGGCTCAGAAACTGAGTGAATCAAGTCCTCATAACAGGTGGACTGAACTGGGGTATTATTACCCTAATCACTAAAACTTCAGAGCCATTCCTGGTGTTCAGCGTTGTTTTTGAAAAAACTTTGCCATGTAGACAAACTTCACTTTCAGTTTTCGGCTTTATTGGGCAATTTGTCCCACTAAATTCTTTAGAAGCAGACAAAAGAAAACAATTTTGGACAAAGAGGGTTTGTAGATTTTTTACTTTTGACACAAGTCATGATGAGTACAGTCATGTTTCAGTTAAATGACAGTGAACCAGGAAGAATGAACCCATGCAAATTGTTTATAATATTTTCTAATATCATTATGTTTAATTTACTAGTGTTGTTGTCGCAACTATGGAGAGTTTTGCACCGTTTCCTGATCTTACACAAGATAAGAGAATTACCGGTAAATAACTTTTTATATATGTATTTGATGATTCTCATTAATTATGTTATGCAAGGTTTGGAAAATTTGAGAATGAAGGGAAATGATTTTCAATGCAACTATTGTCACTAAAGTTAAATATTTTTAGAAAAGATGCTGCTTACCTTTAGGAACAGAAGCTGCCTTCTTGTTTTTCGACTGGATTACATCTACATGTACTTCCTCATCAGCAGACCCTGCATGTGTAAATAACCTGACATTATTACAAATTTCAGAGATGTACTTAAGTATATAACATAGTCTTCAAGGTTTTGTAAAAGTTTTGTGTCCTCTTTAATGTAATGATCTCCACTGTCTGTGGGCCTTATGAACACAAAATTGTAATTAATATTTTTGCATGAGGAACAAATTAAATGAGTGTGCTTTAAATAGAATAGTATTAAGGTGCTCAACAATTTTGTTTTGGCATGATATGTTCGCTACCGTAATATACCTGTTGCTTTATCTTGCTGGCTGTCAGAGTTCTCATCACTCTCATGGTCATCAAAAACACAAGCTACATGTACAAGAAATTAGAATGCAATTGAGTAGATATTAACCACATAGTTTATTGCACAGATTTGTTTTAGTTATAAAATTTGATTTCAGTGTATGTAAAATTGTAAATGAGTCAGGATGAGCAATGAGCGGTTTGTTTTTTGGAAAATGCTCAAATGATCATGTTTCAGAAGTTTGGTCATTTCCATGATCAAGGGCTTTTGATTTTTATATATAGTTATACACACAAGTCATATTATTCAATTCAACACAAAACTTGTCATTTACTTGTCGAATATGAAAAAAGTTAATACCCTGAGGAGCACTTCACCCTCAATAAAGTCGGACATGAAAATAATAACAGGGAAATCCTGTTTTGTGTAGGAAGCCACGTTGTAAGGGAGATGAAGAGTTTTAAAAGTTATTGAATTTAGGCAATACATCTCTCAGAGTATTTGAAGTAAATCCTGGGACCTTAAAGTGAAATAGAGTAGACTAATGTTATATTGCAGATTCATTTTGTTATATTGGTTTAATTGATAGAATGAAAGATTGAAAAAATGATTTGATAC